GATTTTACGTTACGTACGCAACATATGTAACTTCATTTCTCATATAAATGATGAACCTTTTTATGGTGTCTTATCAATAACTAAGGGACTGACTTATATTTATTTTTGCCTTTATTGTTGATGTACTCATATGACACATGCTACGATATGTGCACACCGAAACTAACGTTTTGATTGTTTTGTAAAGGTTTATTACGCAAATGACGGACGGAGATGTGGCTGAGGATTTGCGACTACCACAAACTGTCATTGGTCGTTTGGTAAAGGAAGCACTACCACCTGGTGTTATCATTTCTAAGGTTCGTTTTTATCAACCTATGAGCGTATAATACTTTTGGGGAACAAGTTATAATTCGGAGGGATTCATTTCCAATGTAAATTATATAATGATAGAGTGGGACCATTCCTATAACACAAATAACAAATGACATGTGACATTGCATTTGCATCGGTTACATGTAGGAACAATATCACTTAATGAGGAAAGTCATTTTGGATGAACAATTTTTCCAAAACACAGCATCATACCAGAACTCTAAATACCAGTAAGCAAGTGTATGTTGAGAAAATACGTAAGTATCGGGGAATGATCGTCTTGCAGTAGATATGTTATTTCGATAAAACCATAAAGACGACAAGCAATTACAGCACAATTAAAGGAACTTTCGTAATTTACAACGGTGGGCTCTAAGTCTCGTCGCAAACTGACTGGAATAAGTTGAAAACATAATGCAATGAGGCTATTTTGGCAAGATTGCTTTAATTTTTTATTGCAATACCTTAACTGGAAGTCAAATTTAATATATACATATACATTCATTACGCAACACAAGATAAAAAAAGTAAACCAGGAAACGATGAAAGTGTGATCAACTACCGTTTGTTCTCTGAATACATCTGCGGAGACATACAATTAATAACAATAGAAATAATCGCCTCTCAGTAAAGATACACTAGATTTTTAAAGTCATGACAAAAAAAAGTGAGCAAGACACCAAGGAAATCGTCTATGTTCCATTCCATTAATTCCTCTTTACTATTAGCCCCTAAATAACAACTATCTATACATGCAAGTCAAAGAAATCAGGGGAAAGAACTACGAGGTCCCATCGAAAATATATCTGACATGCACTAAATAATAAAGATGTAATGCAAGTTCCAACAAACGCGAAATTTTTGAGTTGTGTGAACGTTCGTTTAAAATCGATAAAAAGTTCACTGGCTCGAGCTTTTTATCGATGAGTACATTATTTCATTAATTAGCACCGCTGCACGCAGCTTTATGCATACATACTTTCAGCCAAAGCCGACATTTTCAAGCAAATATTAACAAATTGATTAAAATATTCCGCTAGTTCGGCAACTTCGCCATCCACACCTTCGTCCGCTAAATCCCACGGTAAATAACGTGATGCTTCCACTGCACAGCTTGAACTCTTACTCCTGAATAAATTCGCATATACAGGAACTACAAACACAAAAAAAGAATGCTGATTCATTCCAAAGCGATTTCAATCTCTTCCCGCAGAAACAGTTCGAAAATTTTATAAAATTCTGAAGGGTTCTTTTTTGAATGAACATTCTTCAAAAAATAAACAGCAGAAGTATCACCACATAAGATACGAAAAAAAAAAAAGAAAGTCAAAAGACTCAAAAGACGCAAGAAAGTTGAAAGAGTTTGTTTTATACTCATTTCCATAACAATTTCCATATTGAACTGGATCTTTCTTTTGTTATAATTCATATGAATCTTAAGTACTCTTAAAGACAAGTGAAATTAGCAGTTCTACCTATAAATGAACAGGAACTGACCTTTCCATAATGGATGGTTGCTCTGATAACGTCAACCGCAGCTCGTCGACATCACCTTCTAATTTAATGCCCCAAAGCTTTTCCAAGGCAGAATTGCGCTTAAGCGTGTCGACTTTTTTGTTTATCAAAGGCAATAAATATGGCTTGTAACGATGTCGAGCACGACTAAAAAATATGGAGCCTCGTAATTCAAATAATGAGACCGAACAAATTTAACCTTTGAAAATGCACTGGTAAAAATCATAAGCTGGCCAAAAGCATCAAAATGTGACTGACCTATAATCTATATTTAATAAAAAAAAAGGGTTATAAACTTCCAGAAATCTAAACTTCATCGGAGAAGCAAGAAATAAAAGCAGAAGGAAGAGGACATGACACCTTGTTGCTTCCTTCCTCCTCCTTCTGCAGACAGTTCATGCAAAAGCAGTTTCGACATCTGACATTATTCGATTATAATGTAATGAAAATTAATCGCGCTTATTCTCTAAGCCTTATAATTTTGCATTCTGTCAACTAAAAAGAAATGTTACACAACTTTATGTAGACGAGAAGTGAAGCGAAGAAGAGAACTTCTCTGCCTTCAAAACCTTAAGAAGTTCAAAACCTTAAAATCCTCAGTTTATGGCAAATGATTCGCAATATGGAAGACGTACGAAGTAAGGAGCAATCCCAGAAACCTACTCCTTGGAAAGACGAGCAGTGTAGCTTGATGCTGTCGATGGTTGCTGCGCTTTTTGGCAAAAACAAATAATTTTGGATATCTTCTTTGGTGTTCTGTTACTTCCGCCATCTTCAGAATCTCTGCTGTCACTCGCTTTCAATGAAAGTCTTTCAAAAATTGAAAGAGTTTGCTCCATCGTTGCCTTTACTTCTGCTTCTTCCATCTAAAACAAAGTATTGTCATAAGATTAAGAATAATAAGCTTATTAGAGCTTCTCAAGACTTCTCACACTACCTTCTTCAGAAGGGTCACATACATATGTGTCACTATCAGGTAGAAATTTCATCGGGAAAAGATTACAAATTGCTTTCTTCCTCCGAAACTGTGATGCTTTGGGAAATCGAGTATTTATGACTTTCTAATGGGTGCTCGAAGAAGCCTTCAAGGCATACGCAGCAAACTAGCAAGCTTTGAGAATCTTATTAGAGACTTACTTAAGTTATAAATAAATGGATTGAAAGAGAAGACATAACAGGTTCAAAGAAACAGAGGAAACGGTCCCTAAGCGAACGAACGAACACCTGGCTAAAAAGTAAATTGGAGAGCGTGCTGCGTACCACCTGCCTATTTAAGCAAACAAAAAACATGACCCAAGAAGCACAGGACATACACACATCACCGGTCTCTTTCACGTCAGAAAACATAGTGGTTTGAAACGAGGGAGGCCGATATGCAACCTAACGACTAACGAACACATTGCGACGACAATGATGTTTTGATTCATTGTAGCCCACACTCCGCTTGACACTGGTCAGGGATCAGTTTCTTTAGATGGTTGCTATTACTGAATTGTCTATACAATTCATCACTGAAAAGCACCCATCACTGGAAAAATTGAAGTTATGAAGTTCAATAGAAAGTGAACATTTTAAGTCTATCTGGAAGATCTCTGATCAGTTGTTTTGATTATATTGGTTGATTTTAAGATGACTTTGTTTAGATTAAAGGCATTTGTTGCAACCCCAATCCACGTACTTGTCGAAAAATCCGCCTTGATAAATTGACGCGTTGCTGTAAAAGTATAATATGTCAATTGTGGATTTTGCAGTAAACCGGGGTAGCGTGGTATAGCGTGGGATATTATTCTTTCCTGAAAAATTCAGATTAGAAAATGAATGGCATTAATGAGCATAAAGAGTTGCATGGCAATCTGAATGGTAATCGTTGGAGTTCCTTCAAAACCAAACTGGTTGGAATATAATTACTTGACCACTTCTTGATTCGAGTGAATGACATCCGTAGAATAGATCCATCACTGAACGCTTTTCCTCTTTGGATTATGATAACGATCCACAGTTCAAAACAGTCATTTTATCCATTTAGAAGGTTATTTCAATGTTGTGATGAGGATTTGGAAATTTTAAACGTTCCCCTATATAATAAAATATGTAAAAGCTTTAACTTTAGTATTGAGTGTAGTGATAGTAAGATTAAGAAGAAACTGCTAGAGGTTGAACTTCGCAAGTAGTAATATCATTGAATTACTCTAGTTAAAAATCTTTCACCCAAATTGCAGTATATTATAGAGGTCTTTGTGCAATATAATTATACCCGGTCAGTTTGAGGGCAAGAAGAGGAAAACAATTTATATTTTGGTGTGTTTGCTTTGTGTCTTATCCTTAAGTTCACTCAGGAAGCAGTTCGGAATTACCATTGTTTCAAGGCATTTCTTTGACGACTTTAACAGCCAAATAGTCGTTTTTTTATTTCATAATATCAAAGCAATCTTCAAATCGGATACTTCTGTACTACCATACGCTACAGAAGTTCGCTCCAGTTTTTAAAAATTCCCATGCAGTTTCAAAGAGCTACATTTTGAAGTTGAGAGTGTTACAAAGCGGTGACAGCTAAGATTATAGCCTCACTTCTAATGATAAGGAGGATTTGTTTAACTGTTTGGTTCCTCTCTAAGATCATTACTAATTTTGCAATGAGAAACTTTCATAGAAATCACCGATGCTCGGACCTCGAATGGTTTCACGGAATGAAATACTAAAGGAAGTTATGTCAGCCTTACTCTTAATCAAATATTATGTAATTTAAATGATTAAAGGATTTGGAAGCAGTAAATTCTTGCTGCATTAACGTTTGCCGGAAGAGAACAAATAGTGCAAATAGTGATTTATGCAGGCTTTTAATGAATTGTTCCACCACCTTCTCTCTGCCTCACTGCAATATGCAGTATGGGAGTACTAATTACAAGTAGACAAGAAGAGCACTTGTTGACCATGTTGTCGCGAATTTTTACTCGCGAGACTCCAACCATACAAATATATAATAATTAAATAAATTTCCTATTGTAAATCATCT